TTTATATATATATATATATATATATATATATATATATATATATATATATATGTCCACATATAGACGACATTAAGCCGAGCAGCGGGGGAGTGTATCTGCAGCCGTCTATATAATAAAATTGTTTAATAAAAGTACTGCTTTATTACTTTCTCTATATAATATCTTAGCTAGGCTTCACTCTCTGCATGCATGCATGCATGCATGCAGAGAGTGAACATGCATGCATGCATGCATGCATTGTTTATAGAGTAACGAGAACTCTATATATATAAAAACACCAAACCACTGCCGATACAGTAGTTGAATAAATTTGTATTGGGCTGCATGCAGCGATCATTTATCCTTTTCAGGAGTTAATTTATTAAATTAATTTACTTTTTATATTTATTTTATTTTTTTATTTTTGTGTTTGTTTGTTGCAGCAGCAACAAACACAGCACCACACCACACCGGTGTGTGATCGCCACCGGCCTTGCATGCGGTATTACGTCTCGCCATCATCTGCTGCGTTAATTATATTAAATAAATAAATCTAATAAATTAATTTAATTAATTTAATTAAATTAAACTAATTTAGCTTTTATTTTTGAGTTTTTTGGGCTCGTTTTTCCTATATTAAATCCCCAGCCGCAGGCGTGCCTCAGCGGTCATCTGAGCTGCTGTGCGTCGGCGGCCCCCCCGTCTTGTGTTTTTTTTTGTTTTTTTTTTGTTTTAAATTAAATAAATATATTTTGTTTGAATTGTTTAATAAATAAAAACGAAAAAAGAAGTGAAGCATTCGCATTGAGTGTTTTTTCTCTCTCTCTGTATTCTGGCTGGCGTTCTGAGGTGTACATACACACCAGTGGTATTGAACTGCTGCATTTCTTCTGCGCAATATGTGTGTTTTTTGTCGTTTTTTTGTTTTTTTTTGAGTAAATATATAAAATTAAGATGGATTTACGCGCTTTAGATGACCCCCCGCCGCCAGAAGTGACCCAATTGACCGATATAAACACTATTTCATGCTGGGAGCAGTGGCTCAAGCTTTCTTACGGTACCTCAGACCTTCATATCATCAGAGCCTGGAGCCTCACCTCCCACGCCACAGAGCTGGCCTTCGACTCACAGGCTCGCGTACGCAGCGGGAGCAGCATAGACTGTATATTTATCTTTGTCTCTCTTTCTTCTTCTTTCTCTTTTCTTGTTTCCCTTTGTATACTTATGGGTACTCTGTCTGTGTTTCTCTCTTCTCTCTCTCTTTATTTTCTGTATTTATTCTATTTTATTTAATTTAATAGAACCCTCTTATTCTGTCTCTGTTTAGTCTATATATCTGTCTCTGTCTTTCTCTCTTTTCTTCTCTCTCTGCCTCTCCTATAAACCCTTCTGCCTTCCTTCTCTCGTATTCTCTCTCTCTCGCTGCTGCAGCAGCAGCAGCAGCAGTCTGCAGCCAGAAGCACCAACAGCAGCAGCAGCAGCAGCAGCAGAAAGTAGCAGCAGGCAGCATGCAGGAGAGGAGAGATCCCTCTACCCCACACGATCCCGACCCAATGTAATTAAATAATTTTTTTTTTATGTTCTCTCTCTCTCCTCTCTCTCTCTCTCTCCCCCCCTCTCTCTCTCTCTCTCTCTCTCTCTCTCTATATATATATATATATATATATATATATATATATATATATATATACATATATAATAAGTGTAAACCCGTGTAAATGTATGTTATAAATAGGGTTTAGGGTTTAGGGTTTGTGTGTATAGGCATTACGGGGTCCCCTGGTGTATTCGTTCCTGGACGGGGATCGTCTCCCAGCAGGTGTGGGGCGGGAGGAGCTTTTGGGGGGCCGACATTTTTCTTTTGATTGGGCGCAGCTTGTGTACCCTGTGGGGGCCCTGGGGGCCCCCCCAGCCTTCGCTGCATGCCCCGCAGGCACCTTTAGGGTACTGGCATGCAAGCTAGCTACTGGTACCACTCTACAGCATCAAGAAAATGAAGGTAGTTAGGGTTTAGGGTTTAGGGTTTAGGGTTTGGGGTTTTGGGTTTAGGGTTTAGGGGTTGGGGGGTTAGGGTTTAGGGTTTAGGGTTTGATGGGGGAGAGAAAGAAGGGTTTAGAGGGTGAGGGTTTACTGGGGGGGCGGGAGAATGAACAAAGAAATATAGATTGTACCGGTCTAGGGTTTAGGGTCTAGGGTTTAGGGTTTAGGGTTTAGGGTTTAGGGTTTAGGGTTTAGGGTTTGTGTGTAGGGGACTTCGAGAAGAGAGAAATCCCGGCGGGGTATTCTTCGTTGGCTCTCGTGTTGTCTTCTCCAGCCACAGATGAAGCAAAGCAAGCCCTAAACCCTAAACCCTAAACCCTAAA